AAGCTGCCAGGTTCCGTTCTTCTCGATCATGTCTAGTTCATCTTGCATAGCTCTCATCCATGCTTGAGAGTCTTGTGCTTCAGCATAGCTTGTTGGTTCAGAGGTAACCAAGTTACACCGCTGATAGACATCTTTCAAGGATCGAGTTCCCCTCACTGGTACATCATCCACTAGTTCATCTTCTGAAAGTTGAGGCTTCTCTTTTGAAAATAAATCAGAATAAGAGGTCTTCTAATTTTTCCAATCCCAACCAGTTGCTTCATCAAACTTCACTTCTCGGCTGAGAATTAGTTTTTCCGATTTCAAACAAAAAATCCTATTTGGATGATCTATAGCCCATAAATATGCCTTTATGAGCCTTGTTGTCCAGCTTAGTCCTCTTTGTTTCTGGAACTCGATAATAACATATACACCCAAAGATTCTGAGATGGTGTACTGATGGTTTGTTCCCACACTAAGCTTCATATGGAGTCATGTCCTGCAAGGCCTTAGTAGGCAATTTGTTCAGCAAATATACAAAGGTATTGAATGCCTCCGCCCAAAACTGATTTGGGATCTTTCTTTCGAGCAAAAGACATCTGGCCATCTTCATTACTGTCCTGTTCTTCCTTTCAGACACGCCATTTTGTTGTGAAGTGTATGGTAATGTCAATTGGCGTTCAATACCTGTGCTATTACAAAACTCCACAAACTGAGAAGAAGTATATTCTCCTCCATTGTCAGACCTTAAAGCCTTAATACTAAGATTACATTGATTTTCTACTAAAGCTTTAAATTGTTTAAAAACATCAAAGACTTCACTCTTCAGTCTAATGAAATAAACCCAACACATTCTGGTGTAGTCATCAATAAAGAGGAGAAAACATTTGTTACCACTCAATGAATCTGTTTTCATTGGGCCGCAAACATCCGTATGAATGAGCTGAAGTTTCTGGTTAGCTCTCCATACTTGATTTGCTTGAAATGACAATTTTGTTTGCTTTCCCTATTGGCAAGTTTCACAAACTTGAGTATTAGAAAGAAATTCAGGCATATTTTCCACTAGCTCCTTCTTTTTTGATCTCTGCGATGCTTCTCAGATTGAAGTGACCAAACCTTTTGTGCCATAGGTTTGTACATGTTTGTGAAGTAATAGTGTAAGCCTGCTCAGTTATTTTCTCCCAATCAATTGAAAACATTATGTTGCTCATCTTGACATAAAATAATTCTACTCTAGAAGGGTTAAAAACAACACATTCACGATTCTTAAAATGCAGAGAATAATTATTTTCAAGCATTTGTCCAACGCTCAACAAATTTTGACTCATATTAGGTGTGTACAAAACATCAGGAATAGTTTTGATACCTGATATTGTTGAGATAGACATTGTACCTCTGCCTTTGAATTCTACTACCTCACCGTTTCCCACTTTTACTTTAGATTTGTATGTATCATCGAGGAATTTGAACATTTCAGCATCATTGCACAAGTGATGTATGCAACCACTATCAAGAAGCCATGAATCAGAGGATTCATTGATTGAAAAGTATGAAACTACAAAGAGTTGTTCCTCATGTGCATCTGCAGCTTCTGCTACTTGTGCTTGCAAAGCACTAGAGGCCTTTGCTCTTGCTTTTGGATACGTGCCCCGTCTGCTTACAGTTGTCGCATATAGCATCGACCTTCCACCAACAGTACTTCTCCAGATGTGTAGTTCTTTTACAATGTTTACACGGAGGGAACTTCTGCTTCACATCTCTACTATTATTTCCTCCATCATGCTTGCCCTTATTCTTTTGGTTGACATGCTGCTTTCCTTTACCAAATATTTGTTTTTGTACAGAGAAAGATCCTTCAGTGAACTTGTCTCGTCTCATAGTCCTCCTTTGCTCTTGTGCTTGAAGAGCACTCATTAGTTCACCTAATGAAAGTTTTCCCAGGTCCTTAGATTCTTCAAGAGAGGAAATCTTAGATTCAAATCTCTCAGGAAGAGTCACAAGAACTTTCTCCACAATTCGTTTGTCTATAAATTCTTCACCAAGAAGTCTAATGTTATTAACAATTAAGGAGATTCGATCAGCATACTTACTGATTGTTTCATCATCCTTCATATTCAAGCACTCGAACTCTCTTTTCAGGTTCAACACTTGCATTTGACGTGTTCTGTCGCTGCTTTGATATTCTTCCTTCAACCTATCCCAAGCCTCTTTTACTGTTTTGCAAGCCATGATTCTGTAAAACACAAAATCTGCCACAGCATGCTGCATAAGCGACTTGGCTTTAGATTTCTTTGCCTTCTGTTCATTGTTGGATTTGATTTGAGCCAAGGTAGGATTTGCTAGTAGAGCAGTAAGTGGTTTATCTTCCATCACAGTTTCCCAAAGTTCATAGGCTTCCAAAAAAGCTTGCATCTTCACAGGCTAGATTTAGTAATTTTCACCGGTGAAAGTGAATGGTGGATTTAAAGGTAGGTTGCTGGATGCCATTGTGTTGTAGGTTAAAACTTTTTGATCCTGTAAGATCAACTAGAGGCTCGGATGCCACTGTTAGAACAAAAATACTCAAGAAACTGATTTGAAGAATAAAAATAAAGTGAACTTGTGAAATTCTAGCTATGTATTAATTTGCATAAGATCTTAATTTATACAAGGAAAAACCTAACCATTTCCTATCTAGTAGCCACTTACAAAGTGGATGTTAAAACTAAATAAGAACATGTGCCACTAACAACCATAAAAGGGTCCACTAACAGCCATTAAAGGGGCCACTAACTTTAGAAAGTTGAGCAACTAAAGTTGACTAAGTCTAGCTAGAAAATAGGAAGCACTAAACTAAAATAAGTAAAACACAGTAAAAATAATAAACTGGAAAAAATGCCAATTGTCTAACAGGCAGGTTGTCCTTTAACACGAAAATCTCTTACTGGTGTTTTGTTCTCTTAGGAAATTCACCAATATCTTGGAAGACTAAGAAGCAGCAAACGGTGTCCAGGTCATCTTCAGAAGCTGAATACAGATCTATGACCACCACAACTTGTGAATTAAAGTGGCTAAAGGAAATTTTGTCTAGTGTAGGGGTGACACATCCTACTCCAATAAGACTATATTGTGATAGTCAGTCAGCGCTGCATATAACAAAGAATCCAGTATTTCATGAAAGGACGAAACATATAGAAATAGATTGTCATTTTCTCCGAGACGAGATAACGGAAGGACAACATTCATCCAACATATGTTTCCTCTAAAGTGCAGCTCGCTGATAATTTTGCAAAAGCATTAGGAAAGCATTAGTTTGACTACCTTCTTTGCAAGTTGGGCATTCAAAATCTTCACGCACCAACTTGAGGGGGGTATTAAGCAAAGATCTGTGTAAATATAGTAACTTTAGATTGTGTATCTAATTTGTGAGAGATGTAATATTCTATGAGATATTATATGATATATTATAGGAATAAGATATTCTGATTAGGAAAGATTTTAGGAGTAGGAGACTCAATCTCATGTATATATATTCTACTTTTCTAGAATGAGAAAGCAAGTCAGATTCTTCAAACACTATTCACTATTTTTATACTTTTATTTCCCTGTCATTACTCTGTTGGAAGCTCTTGTACATATCTATACTAGGTCCTTGAAAAATGTTGGATATGTTGAAAATAAATATGATTTTAGTTGTTCGATTTAGTATACTATTACTATGAATGAAATTCTTTCTGAAATTATCTTTTAAAAAAGAGATGGAAGGTAAGGATTCTCCAATCGAATTAGAACCAAGTAGGTGTCTGCATGATTTCGTAAATTGGGTTATGGCAATTGGTATTGGAGTACTAGATTAGCAATCTCTCAACTACAAGAGCAAGACAAGATTTGCATATTACAAGACAAGATCATATTACTTTAAATTTCGTTGGGCTAAACAATTTTTTGTTTCAAGGTTATCTTTTTTACTCGCAGATTGATAAGTTCTTCTCTTTTAGGGTGTGATTCCATATGCGTTTTTTTTTTTTTTTTGCTATGAAAGGAACGATGTGATTGTTTTTGTTTGTTACGTCGAGAATGACATAGTTGTAAATATAAGTAACGATACTATATCATTAACCGTTTTTCAGCATATGAAAGCACGTCTTGTCAAGTATGAATAGATGATCTACTTTTGTTATATTAGTACTAAATTAATGACATTTGACCATTTTGAATTTACAGAATCTGCATATTACAAGACTATCATATTACTTTAAATTTCATTATGCTAAACAATTTTTGTTTCAAGATTATATTTTTGTTCGCAAATTGGTAAGTTCTCTTTTAGGGTGTGATTTTTATATTGTGTAGTGCGTATTTTTTGTCTGTTATGAAAGGAACGATGTGATTGTTTAGCTTGTACATAGAGAAAGGACATATTTGTAAATATAAATAATGATACTATCATTGCCTGTTTTCAAAATATGAAAGTGTGTCGATGTCAAGTATGAATGGATGATCTACTTTTGTTATATTAGTACTAAACTAATTTTACGTTCGATCATTTTGAAGTTTATAATTTGCTCATAATTGTTCACAATTTTCAAGTTTAAGAGAGTTGTAACTTGTATTCTAAATTTTGTAGCTAATAATTGACATGATTATGTTAAAGATAGTGATACCCTTCTCAATGATCTTCAAATTTTGAGTTCACCTCTATTCAAAATGATAGGTGGTATGTAACACTATCCTACCCCATGTGTTCATTTTTGTTCATGATGCTAACCTTCATTTGAGTATGACAACTTTCAGGAGAGATGTACATTACTTTATTTTTGGCAATATTGCGCAAATATAAGAGTTAAACTATGAACCCTCTATTGTCAAAAAAACATCTGGGACTTCCATTAGCATGGCTATGATCCAAAATTTCAGACAGTATACTTTCCTCCAGTGTATTTGAGACAAAATAAATAACCCCACCAGAACAGAACTCATAACTCATCCTGATGGCAAAGTCCTCATTTCAACGAAGCTACGAACAATTAAAACTCTTATCATACCGACGAAAAATCATCACAGATTTGATCTGCACTTCTCTTATCAGGAAATCAATGTTTTCGGGTGGAGAATCTTCAGAGATCTAATCTGCATTTCTGATCAAGTAATCAATTACAAGAACACTGCTGTTAAACGTGAAAATCAGCATCATTTTTATGTTACAGAATATTAATTTCACATAGATATCTAAAAATCATGAAATGGACAAATCAACGTAGTACGAAATGCCAGCCTTTGCTCCAATCCACAAGTTGTTCGCCTGCTCAGACTCTTCATATTCTTGTGGTGTTGCTCTGCGTAATACGAGTAGATGCAAAGGTCCAGTCCAATGTAGTTAAAGCCGGTTAATCAGTTGAAATCGTGAGGCACTGTATATTTTGTTACAAAGAACGAAACTTATGTTCGGTATGCACATCATGATTATTCTTGGGCATCAAGGTCAGGCTTCGATGGGTACTCAAGACCGTGAAGAGCAGGTATCCGTCTTAAATCTTCTTCAGAGTAAGCAGGAATGAACCAATACCGTTTGTCCAAACCAAACACCTGAATCATATAATACAACCTTAGAATGGTAAACTGAAAGGGATCTAACATTTTTTATGAAAATAACACAGATCTAACACAACTTGTAACATGACATAGGCAAGACAAGCAAAGGTAATTAGCTGTCATATTCAAAACTAGTTTTTGCAGTCCAATCCAAATGGTGCCCTGATAAGTTTTCTCGAGACAACTAAACTTGAGAAAGTACTCCAAGTTTATTGGGTAGTCCAGTCCGACACTGGGTCTTATACAGCAGCGTTTTAACCAGTAAAATATAACTGAAAAATGACAGGCATGTGATAGCTTTCTCATGTTTATTCATTTAAATAACCAAAATAGCAAAAGGTAACACCAAAGCTGTACTCTTTTTAAGATAAAAACTTCCAGTTAATGGCAGATCAGGCACGAGAATTTCAGGATTCATACAAAAAGTTGCCCCACAATGTCACATTGTTTCGACAGAAGAGTAAATTGTAACACAGAAAACTGAAGGACTGCATTAAGTTGCAAAATGGCTGGTTGTGATCTGTTGGAAGTGAAACTAAAGAGTAGAGAATCAGTGAGGTAGTAGATGAATATCTTCAGTATATGCTGTAGGGCTTTGCTTGTGTATTTATCATATGAAGGTAATACCAAGGTTTTGAAAACCTCATTTGTTACGATGGAAAACCCTGTTATCAGATTAAGAGCCTCGTTAAATAGAAAAGAACGTCGAATACTTCGTTCTGTTAGCTGTAACATCCCCTCCAAACTGAATGACCATTAAGAAAAAAATAACATTTTAGTAAAACCGAAGCACCAAGACCATGTGATTTGCTAACTTTTACTTTAAATAAGCCAAAACATATTTCACCTCAATACAAGGCCTACTCAAGATGTTTCACATAATCATCGAAATTACCTACTCGAATAATTAAAATACTAAAAACTAAGTAAGAAAATATGGACTAAAAATTGTCTTCCCGTGTTCTCCAAAAAAAACAAATGCATTATTACTTGCCCTCTTCGTGAGTAAATGGCCAAAAACATACCTCAATTATACCCAACCCTTAAGCTACATCCTTGCCCAATCACAATAAACAAAAAGCATCCCTAAACTATCCCAAAACTTACAAATTACGTCCCTCCGTTAGTTTTATGTAAAGAAATAACAGGTTCAACCAGAAGCACATGACTACCCCACAAATCCAACACTTCTGTCACCTTCCCTATGGTATGCCATTTGGGACAGGGAAGCTGGAGCTACGCTAAAAAGACTCAGCACATGCCTTAACCTTAATATCAAATCAATACATTGTTGTTCAGTTGTAGAAACAAAACACTAACACAAAAACACCTTTGTTTTTGGATGAAGTTCTATACCTTTGTTATTTTCAACATCTGAATAATTGGTTTATTAGTAAACTTTTAAATCGTTTTATGAATTCCAAGAGAGTAACTATTGATAATATATAGAACTCTTCAAGATATAAAGGTAAAAGACGAATTATGTATCTCATTTCATTTACAAACTACGTAAACTATTAATTATAAAAAACTTTACAAGATAGGGGTAAAGCTACATACACAACACCCTTCTCATACCTACTTGTAAAATTATATACGATATATTGTTATTGTTGTAAAAGACAAATTATGTATCTCATTAACCCACAATATTATATTTACTTGATCTAAACATTAAAATTGAAATAATATAAATGAGAAAAGCTATATAAAAATATTTCTATTTTAAAGAGAAGAAACTATTTTTCATGTTAATCTGCACATCTCTTAAATTAATCTCACCAAATATGTATTCCTTATAGCAATATTAGTGCTATTCAAAAGACATGTATGGGTGGAGTAGTGAGAAATGATCAAGGAGATTTTTCGATGGCCTTTTTTAGCTAAATATTTCACTAATAATCATGTTGACATATTAGGTGCTATAATTCTGGGAGTAGATGGTGTTGCTAAATATACCACAAATTACAATTGAATAAAATAAACAAAAATGAATAAATTAATATTCAGGTTGAGGCAGACTCGCTCTCTTTAAGAAGATTCAGGCCCACTGCGTTATAATCTACACCGATCAAGTTGTACAACTGTTGACTTATGTAACACCTCGCATTTCGAACCCATGATTACTCGTTAATTGGCATAGACAAACCAGCCCAAAAATTTTCAGTGTCAGTTACCCCGAGTTGGTTCACGAGTCGTGAACACAATCATGGGATTAACTCTAAGTCAAATCAGTTCCCACGACTGATAGTATGAGTCCTGAACCACGTCCATGATTCGTACCATCAGTCATGAAAACATTCAGAGGCTTCCATAAATTAATCAGTTCCCACGACTAACAATACGAGTCGTGAGCCAGGTCCGCGATTCGTACCATCAGCCATGGTTAGGTCCTAAGACTGCCAGCTCCCCCGATTGACCGTACGAGTCATGAACCAAGTCTAGGATTTGTACTATCAATCGTGAAAATATTTAGAGACCCCAGATTCACCAAGGTTCCCACGACTGACAGTACGAGTCGTGAACCTGGTTCGCAATTCGTAGTGTCAGACCACGAGTGGAGGAGTAACTCGTGGGAACCTAGTTCCAGAAATTTCAAAACTCACTTTGAGGGGTATTTTTGTCCTTTCCTTATCTTCCTATGCCTAGATCACAATGTTTTGGGCTACTCTAAGTGGGGAGAAAAGGGAGTTAGTCGATTAAACCTCCCCACTTATGCCTATCACTCAGAAAAAGCAGAATCACTTACACTCTAAGTCCTCTCAAGCAAGAAACTAGGGTTCTTTGTCTTCCAACTTCAGTTCAAGAATTCCATTAGGTGTTTCCATTCCAAGTATGTGGGATTTCATCAATGGATATCCTTTCAACTATTGAGTCCCAAAGAAACATTCGTATTTCAATAATTAAAATTCTATGAAAACCTAGGGTTCGTATGATCGGCATGGATTTCAATGTATTTCAGTTCTCTTCGTTATTGGTTGAAAAATACATGTCTCTCCATAACTTACAGTATTTTACTTGAAGTATATTTTCATAAACCCTCAAGATCCAAATATTTCATGCCTCCGAATTGTGTTGTTTTCAATTGCATATTTCCTTCATAATACAGGAATTGTCATGATTAGCTTTATACTCAATTTATCAGTTCCTCATGCTTAGAGATGCTTTAAAATAGTGATTATCAGTTATTAACAAATTTTCAATATTTACGAGTTATTCAGTATTATTAGTATTTTCATATTGTAAGCATAAAGCCGATTGGGGGTATTACTTAGCACGAAGCAAACATAGGTTTTAAGAGTCACCTATCAGTTAGGACTGAGACCTTTAGTAGCAATTCCTAAGCCCCAGAACTATGTGGCACCGTAGGTTTTTAAGGGTCACCCATCAGACCAGGACTAACACCTTAGTCCATTTTGGACATCAACTTAGTGGATCCACGTTAGACAGTATTCATACCCTGGTAAGGTACAAAGCGCTCCCAGCTGGGATCCAGGTTGGACTCCATTTAGCTCAGACGAAGTATATCAATTATTAGTCTCTCCCACAGTTCACTCTCACATTATTGCATTGACCTTGCATTAATTTATTTCAATTCAGTACTTATTAGTTGCATGTTGATTTACTTGGTCATTGCATCAGTTCATATATTTTAGTTCAACATTTTAGATTTATCATGTTAAGTTTACAAGACTTGTGATGCATGCATCACATACTCGGTACATTCAAAGTATTGACTGCATACCTCTCTACGCCATATTGTTTTATAATATATAGGTTCAAATGCTCAACATCCTACTCGCGGTTAGTACTACTTTTGATCAGCTCAATAGCAGTATTGGTGAGCCCTCATCTTCCGAGGACAATTCTCTATCTTATTTTCGTTATTTAGTAGACAATTAGAGTTAGTTGGGGGGCTTGCCCCAACAACTCATCTTAGTAGAGGCTATCAAACAATCAAAGAGCAGTATCAACTTTATGATTTGTTCAGATATTCTACACTTATCCATTTAGTGTTTTGGATTGATATGTCCCTTTTGGATTCAGTTTCTACATAAGTTATTTCCAGTGATTATTTATATGAATCTTAATGTCATGACAGACCATGGGTTAGCTTGGGGTCACTTGTGGCTTTAAAAATTATGTTACGACTAAGGGGTAGTCTCGGGTCGTGACAACTTATCCCCTTTAGGATGCAACAACCCAACAACGTCGTATACAGTATAACTCAAACAAGTCTGAATTAGTTGAACTGTTGTAGAGTCCAACACTCCATCAAAAGAACAACTTCCTTATACATAAAATTACTCTCTTTTGTATAGTGAGTAAATTGGAGAGAATTTTGCCATGAATATTATTCACTTTTTCCCAAAATATAATTTCACTTTATTTGAAAAATAGTGTTTGGCCATGGAAAATTCCAAATACAACTTGAAGTTGTATTTGAAATTTGGAAAACAACAAAAACCTTGTTTTCACTTTACTTTTTTCATTTTTTGAATTTAGTTTTTTCAAAAAAATCCAAAAAAAAAATCATAAAATAACATCATTTAAAATATATTCCATGTTCAAATAATATTTATATTTAAGAAAATACATTTAAATTCTAAATATTAACTGCAAAAACTATGGCCAAACATAACTCCAACTTCAAAAATTTCAAATAAAGTGATTTTTTTTTGTTTTCATGGTCAAACGCTAGAATATTTTTCTTTCATTCAACTCTCTTTCACTACACTAACCTCAAAATATAAACACAATATAATACTTCTCATCCACTTCTCATATTTTTCATATATATATCAAAATACAAAGAAGAAACATCCTTTATAAATGTGTGGATTTCTTGCACAAGTAAATGTCAAGAAAGTGGATAGTTATTTGAGGTGTAGTGGGGTAATTAGTAGGATATAATGTGGAGAACATGTCATAGTGGTTACATGAGTTACAAAGAATAATGACACCTATGTTGCTCAGACTCTTCAAAATTTTCAACGGGTGCGTGTCGGATTCGCCAAAAGTAGTGCATTTTTGGAGAGTCTGACACGGGTGCAACATCAAAAGTGAAGAGTCCGCGCAACTAAGAACGACACCACTTTTTCCACTTTATGCCGACTAACTATCATGCACTTCAATATTTTTATTTAACATTAAAATGTACATAAACACCAATATTCCCCCACTCATTTTAACCGTCAAATAAAAATATTAACGTGCATAATAATCAATGGGTATATAGTGGAGAAAGTAGTGTCATTATTCTTTGTAACTCATGTAACCACTATGACATGTTCTCCACATTATATCCTACTAATTACCCCACTAGACCTCAAATAACTATCCATTTTCCATAAACACCAACTGTAGATTTATCCAAAATGGCTTTTCTAAAATTCATGTTGAACTTGACTCTCTAGTGATAACTAATATGCTGATCAAAGAAGACTCTTGCAACTTGAAACTCGAGCACATTGTTTGAAAGCTACCTCAAACACTTTAAGAGGGGCTAAGGTTCTTTTCACTTACTGCTAGAGAAAAGCTAATCAGGTTACTGGATTTTTTCGCCAAGATAGCTGTTACAAGTGGCAATAGGGGCTTATATCTTCTCAGAGAAGCAAATGATCTGCTTCAACTTGATAAATGGAAATTACCCACCTCTCAAAGGAGATTTGAAAAATATAAAAAATTTATTAGTCAATGTATTTCTGGGTCTGTACAGGAAGAAATTCTATATGGGCTTATTTCCTTCCTTCAATCTAACTTTTGTAGACTTGAGGCAAGGTTTCATGTTCCCCTCTAGTCGTGGTAAGTTCTTTGCCTATTAATATAACATAGTAGGGGTCAAGCCAAACTCCCACACCTTAAGCTCACAACCTAAGGTGATGACTTACAAAAAAATATGTTGTCTTTTTCTTTTCTCAGATCATTTTATTAACGTCTAGTGAAACATGAAAAAATGTTTTTACATGACACTCTAAAAGAAAAGGAAAATATAAATCCAATATATATTATATACGCAGGACTAGAATATTTATCTTCCACTTCTTCCTGTCTATATTTTTCCAAATGATAACAGTGAAAGAAACGTCAATAACTAGCTAGCTTATGTTTCCGCTCCTTGCTGAAGAAGCGAAGGAGAGGAGACAATAATGGTAGATTTGTAGGGATAAGTCACATGCAAAGGCACATTTTCTGTTTGAAGCTGTTAGTTTTTCACAGACAACTAAGAGAGGTATGTAACTTGTAACTTGTAAAACTTCTAGGATAGTTCAAGATGCTATTTATTCATTATTACAATACAATATAAGGATGTTTTTAAGTTTGGGTTAAAGTTAAGGGATGTTTTTGGTCATTTACTCCCCCCCTTCACCCTATTCTACTGGTCTAGTTACTTTTCAAGTTTTATTATTCAAGCAAAAAGAATATTGCTTACGACCTATTTCATTTCTTATACAATTTTCATGATATTTCATACAAAAGTGGTTTTATTTGTGCTGTTCCTGTAGTTCTAAAGAAAAATATTTACTTTAAAAAGAAGTAGACTAATAATCAATGTTAAACCAAATCAAGTAAACCGGATAAAGTCATATAACAAGTGAAAAAGATATAACGGTAAGGAGGTAGTGAGGTAGCAAACACATCATTCTGTTAGAACATATCCTCCTACCGACCATTTCTCATTTTATTTATTTCATAAAATAACTGCAAACACTGTATTGAAGTGGCATCTAATATGAAGGTTTAATGTATGCTTCTTATATCATAAAGAGGATGAAAGCATATATCAAGACCAAAAAAAGGGTAAAACTAGAAAGTAAAGATAAAGCAACAGAAATTGCAAATTTCTTTCTACCCACTATACAACGATTATATTTCAATCATGAAACTACATTAGTCAATTAATCATTGCTATGAGATGTAGGTAATGTTTCATAAACGCGCCTGATATCAAGGTCCTATGTACATGGCATATCGTTTCCACACTGGTTTGCACTACTCCACCATCTGTAAATGAAGCTTCCTTGTTTCCCCATTCTCTACTACCATGAAGTTTAGGTTCTTCAATAATCTTTTATTTTACCATGGGCATTTAAATTAGCTTCCAAGTATTTATATCTCAGAATAAACATTGAGTGCCAGTTGCAATTGGAAGTTCTCTTTCATATCTAACTTATGTGTTTTGTTGTGTCACATTCAAACCATAACTTCCAAATCAACTCCATAAATCTGGTACTTATTATAATATTCATACCTAAGAATTTAGATCAGAGCGCAGCATTACTTAGAGAAGCATCTATCTTTTCTTTCATACTACCATCAGAAATAAATAATAAATAAGGCAATCTTGTGCAGTCATCTAACCTGTCCAAAGTTCCTCTTCCGACCAAGATCATAACGCCATTTAGGACTGGTCTTCTTCTCATATGCCTGAAAGTAAGACAAGCCATTAAATGTGCGCAAAAAAGAAAGATACTTTTCCAAATCAAAGACCAAGAGAGAAAGGTTCTATAAACTGGTTTTGCCTCAAGACTAGAGAGCTGTTTGCACAGTACAAATGATGTTTCAGATCACTAGGCGTTCCATAGAAAGGAAAACACTTTACCATTCAACTTAAGGAATAAGAAAAATGGAGTACCTCAATGGTTGTGGTATTACCAGACACCAACGATATGTGCATAATCAGAAATCCCAAAACACTCAAAGCAAAAGCAAGGTTCAAGACTGCGATGCACAAGAAATGTAGAAAAATTAAGAAAACCAGTGTCTTCATAAAGAAATCACAGGTAGCAAGTTCACCAAGACAATCCCCAGACCATACCAAAAGCAAGGAAAGTAGTCGCAAGAGTGCCCGGAGTCCCAGGTATCTCTCCATCACTGAAGAATGCAATAAATTGTGGCAGTAATGATAAAGTGACAACAGTGGTCTCAAGGAACGTATAGAACTGCAGTAAGAGAAGGTTTTAATTAGTTGAGAAAAAGTCGGTCATTAAAATACAGCAATGCGACGAAAATACCAGGACAATTGTTGTTAAGTATTCATGCATGCATAATGATGCATACAAACATCAATTGACAGGCACCAACAAGGAGGAAGAACATGGAAAAAGAAAATTCTCAATATGAACTATCACTTGCAATACTCTAAGGAAACTGCATTCCACTCTCACAGAAATAGCCAGATGAATTTTGGAAAATGATAAAATCATATAGGAAACAATATTAGAATAAGTTCCTTACAAACAATAATCACTATGGTCGTTCAGATACTGTATGCAGGGATAGTGCTAATATCGCAGTTGCTTAGTATTGGTACTTGCATGACTAGCAGCATGTCATTCAAGAAACTCCTACTATGATTGTACACAGTGGCGGAGCCACAGTACTAGCTATAGTACTAGCTATAGCTCCGTATAACCTGTAGCTTTGACTCAAACCCTGTATTTTGAGTTAAAAATTCATTTAGTATGTATAAATAATTTATTCAGAACCTAGCAAGCAAAATAAAATGTGGTCTAGAATGCATAAACTAAAAACATTGGCTGTCTCTGATTGTACATAGGAGATAATGATGGTTTGCAAAGGTCTCATGGGTGGATATGATTTCTAAGGCTACAGAACCATGTGTGACACTCATCCCCCAAAAATATCAAAAGAACTGACAAAAGAAAAAACAATATACTAAGACAAAGACTGTGATATATATGAACATCAAAATCACTCCACTTGACATATAAGCAATAACATAGGAGACTTTTATTTTTTTGAAATTAATAGCATAGGAGACTTTTAAGACGACAACAACATACCCACTGAAGAGACTATTTCGTCAAAAAATATAAATATAATGTTGTTCTCTCTCCATTTAAATTTATGTGTTTACTTTCCTATTTAGTATGTTACAAACAGAATGTTATCTTTTGATGACCAAAAAAAAAGAATGTTATTATTCAACATTTAGGAAGTTTTCCATTCCTGTTACAAACAGAATGTTATCTTTTGATGACCAAAAAAAAGAGAATGTTATTATTCAACATTTAGGAAGTTTTCCATTCCAACATTCTCATTTTATCCTTAACGACAATCCCTCATAAGAATGACATGGGATGTTTAAGGGCACTGGAAGTGTACTTTTTTGGCATGTTTTATACACCTTTACTCGTCTCAGACCACAAGATTCAAAAGTCATGTTTACATTCTTAAACTTTATAACCAATTAAAACTATGACTCATAAAATGAGGAGGAAATATATTTATATAGGCATAGGTTGCTTACGTATCCTTTGAAGAATATAATAGAGCTAAGAGGGAAGCTAATAGGGCCATAACTTGTGGGGAAGCCCAAATGGAGATGGCTTGTACCAGAAGCTAGGGACACGAGAAGAGGAGAAAGAAATGTACAAATTTGCACGCATGAGAGAATAAGAACTTAAATGGTTAAACTAGGTGAAGTGTATTAAAAATGATTCTCAACAAGTTTAGACGAGAGATAATGAGATCAAGGAGAGGAGAAGAGACTATGGTCAACCCTTCGAGATGGCCCAGTGGTTTGGGCTTGGGACTTCCATGTTGGAGGTCTCAAGTTCGAAACCCCTTGCCAGCGAAAGCAAGGGGTTTGCCTTCTGGGTCGAGCTCGTTGTGTCGGGCTTGCCTAGTGCAGGTTACCTCTCCTATGTGGTTTGCGAGCTATTGCATAGGAGCGGGTAAAACCCTGTGCGCACCCAAAGGGTAGCGGCTGCGGGTTTCCCTTGTCATCAAAAAAAAAAAAAAAAAAAGACTATGGTCAATTGTTCAACTCGAATCACGAGGATAAGCTTAAAGATCTCCAAATATTTGTACACGATAAAGACTTCAGCTATGCTCTTAGAATTAACAAGTCTAAAGTAGACATTGCCATGAAAAATATGATTAAGAAAGCCTATGGTCTCAACGGAAACCTCATAAAGGCTTGTAGGTATCTTGGAGAGGTTAGAGAAGTATGACTTACCAAACTATTTAATGTTATACTAAAAAGTGGTAGAACGCTTGATGAGTAGAGGAAGAGTACCCTTATTCCAATACATAAGAACAAAGAAGATTTTCAAAATTTTGAGAAGCATCGCAGCATTAAACTTATCAACAATAAGATGAAACTGCTGAAAAGAGTGATAGAGCAAAGATCTAGGGACCCCACAAGTGTAACAGAAAACTGGATTGTATTTATACCAGATAGATCTACAACAGATGGTATTTCTTTTGTTAGGACTGATACGCAGAAATTCGCGAGAAGAAAGATTTACACATGTTGTTCATTGCCTTATAGAAAGCATATGATTTAGTACTAACAAAAGTCATTTGGTGGGTGTTGGGGAAGAAGGGAACTTATATTAAATATATAAATCCCATAACGAATAATTATAAGAAGTCATCACTAGTGTGAGAGCAGTAGTACTAGGAGATAGAAAGGAGTTTTCAATTTTCACAACCATGAGTTAACGTAGAGGTCGACATTAAGCATGTACTTATTTACACTAGTTATAGATGAGCTAATACAGAACATTTCAATATCCCATTATGTATGTTAATTGCTTACAATAAAGTGCGAATTGATGAAACCAACGAAGTGTCATCAAAAGCTTGAGTGGTGGAGAAGCACTCTAGAGAGTAGGATAGATAAAAACCGCCTAAACTAGCCTTTGATTTCCAAAAAGACACTTAACGTTTGTGGGGTTCCTAGTACACATCCCCCATCCGAACGACTTCTAAGTGGTGTTAGTACTCCCCTTTCTAGGGCAATCCAACCAATTTTAAGAAAGGAAGTGTTTGTCACGAACAGTCCTTGCTTGCCATGTGCAAATTTCATTAAAAAAAATTATTTTTCCTTCTTAGTTATACTTCCGTTATATTTTGTCCTCGGTCGGGGCCAGGGTTAAGAGGAAGGAGTGGTACGTGGGTTAAGGGGTCTCTTAGGCTGAGAGTAGGGTCTTGGAGCATAGGGTCACTGATGGGAAAATCCATAGAGCTAGTGAAGATTCCCAAGAAAAGGAAGATTGGCATTGCTTGTATCCAGGAAAGCTATCGTCATCTGTTGACGCTATAAATATGTTCAGAATCTAGCAGCCAATACTACTCAAAATTCAAGAATCATGATAACTTACCAGGAAGAGAAGGAAATACTTGTAGTTTAATGCTCCAACACAGTTGACAACCCACACACAATGATGGTCCATCTTTAGCACACACCTTCCACCTAAATCAGGGAAGCAGACAACTCAATCTCAAACGAAAAAACTTTAATCAAAATCATCATTTAGGTGAAAAAAAACAAGAACTCACAAACGGAACAGTGATGGCATCGAGGAGGTTTTAACTGGTTGCACTTTCTACAGAAACGTATTCTGGTATTCCCTGAGTCAGCTGGCGAAGCCCCGAATTCTGATGTGGTTAACGGATCAGCTTCCCCTCTTTCTTCATCCAACTCTGGTCTCCAATTTGGAGGCACACTACCAGGATCAGTAAAAACAACAGAAAAGTAGCACCACAGAAGCATCACCAACTGCAATCATCACAAATATGTACTTTTTAGCTACTTAATATAACTTCCAATCCATCCATAGTCCCACTCAGCTCTGACACAGAACTCGATAACAAGATGAATTTGAAGTCTCTCAAACTTTTCTTTCTAAAATCTCCAGTAATCTGTCTACTTAATATTGAAGCCATCATCCACATTATCCACAGGATTCGAAAAAAAAACTACTTTCGATTTCCCAAGGTCCAACTTAACAAATTCCCTACAATTGTATGTTTGAACCGCCCATAAAAACCCAAATATAAATTTCAAAAAATGGAAATACGTCAAACACCCATAAATCATCAAATTTTATAAACAAAGTACCAGAATTTGGGAGAAAATGAAATTACCAGACAATGGAATAATACAAGTACTGAAAGAGCGATGAGGACATCGAGGAAACCACCACCACTGGTAAGGGAAGGACCATAGTTGGTTAAAACGACGGCGTAATAGGTAACTCCAACAACACCCAAAACCAAAAGGATCATGATCGAACCAAGCCCTCGCAAGGCAGTACAGAATCTGAACACGTTCCATGCCATTACAGCTCCCGATCTATACATAATATATCTTTAACAAAAAAACACCCAAAATGGGTGTTTTGTATAACAAAAATGGTGTGAATTTTCTTGAGAAATTATTTAGGGTTTATGGATTCCAGGTATGTAAAGTGGAATCCATGGATGGATGATAGAGTGAAATAGTGAGGAAGAAGGAAAATTGAGAATATTGAAACCGACTTAGATGACTTGTAGTGGTCAAAGTTAGGGAAATTTCAATACTAATTTAAGATAGAGGTCTATTAAGGCAATTTAATCTAATTAGATAGATTAGAAGAAAGTACAATTTTCCAATTTTCATTGGTCATGGGTGATAACAAAAATCATCTAGAAGGTGTTATATTGGCACTTGCATGTGCAAATAACCTACTCCAATAAAGATTTAATTATTAGTCAAAACTACTACATATAATGATGCAATGATTTTTAGTTTCTAATTCTTGTACCTCTCCCAACCTCTTACATCTCTTATGTACTGCGTTTGCGCATCTATTTATCATTGTAACTAAAATTTAAATCGAAATTAAGATCTAAAAGAGCAAATAAAGAGATTAAGTTTTGTCGAATCTCTAAAGCATATAGGTCGTTATGCAATATTAAAGATCGACAACTACACAAGTCCATTTTTGTAAGTGCATATCCCTTTACCTCCAAGTTTTTCATTATTTTCTACATATATTCACTTTGATCCATGTGAGATTCGACAGAACTCCACAAACGTTTCTCGATCACTATTCACATGGTCGGTGGTCTCTGAGTCTACAATCCACATAAAATACGATTCAGTTTGTAAAGCAGTGATAGAAACATATATATCACTTAGAGATGCATTTTGGAATGCCATACATGGCAGCTGTAGCACTTTATCTTATTCTCGGTTTTTCAAAATTTAAAATCAAACCTAACCAAATCAAAACAAATATCGGTTTTTTTAATCGGTTTGGTTCGGATCGCGGTTCGATTTGGTCTTTTAACCATAACCATGAACAACCCTAATTATGGGTTTAAGTTAACCTTCAAATCTTTCAACTATTGAAAAAAATCGGATTACTGCCTGAACTTGTTGCTCATTAGAGAGAATATGATCAATATTTTTAAGTTGAGTAATCAGGTTTGATATCATCCTAAGGTATAGTTTGATATTCTAATCATGATGCTTCTTGTAAGTATCAAATTTGATAGTCAGTTGTATAAGGCAGTCACATATGTGCCCTCATATGTCTCTCGCAAGTGTGCCTACATGGCATGAGCAATCTCACATTCATGAATGAGGTCATTAAGAACAGAACTTACGATGATTCTACGTGCAGCAAAATCTTTCTTTTTTCAAACTTTGTAAGTTTCAGAATCTTTTGTGTTCTATAGAGTTATTCTCTTTTGAATGACTTAAAACATGATTTATACCTTCAAGGAGCATTTTTCTCTTAGAATACATATCATATTGTATGACTTCAGATGTCGTAATCGTTACCATTCAAATTTTCACGATTGTAAAAGTCAACAATTATACTTAAAATCGTGCTTGTTAATAAAAGACAATTACGCAAGTAAATTCATTAATTATACATGTGAATTACTCAGTTAAGCAAACCAATTCACATAAAGGTTTCACATTTAGTGTAAAATTGAAAGGTTACATAAGTTTTAAATTCACCAAAAGGTTTGACATTTAGTGTTAAGATATTTTATATAGCTCCAGCCACAAAATTAGCTAGCTTATCCATGGGAGAAAAATGAGAAAACTTAGACCTGGGATTTATCAAACTTAATTTGGGTCTAGGATAAGTCTTTAAAAACCTAGATTTCTTCATTTTGGTTATTATTTCTTTTTTTCTCCCACTTGTCTTTTAGAGTCATTGTGAATTTCCAAATTGGCTCATTAGGATCATACTCGTGATAAATGCAAGCTAATTGATTCTTTCAATAATTTGGTAAGGATCTGTTTAATATATCCAAAGATTCTTTGTCATGACTTCAATCCATCGTGAGCAACACCCACACTAACCCACGTGGGAGGACCAACTAATTATTATCATAATTCCAAAAATCAAGTTTTCAATAAAACAAAAGTCATAGTCATCAACACTGCGAAATTATCCCCTAGAAACTAAAAGTCGTGTAGTTGTTTAGAATAAGGGGATACAACCTCAATGTCAAGACCCCGACCGTAGTGAGTGACACCAACACTAAACCACATGATAGGAGAACCAATGACTAACTTGAAACCAACCCAACACCATTTAAATAAGAAAATTTCATCATATAAATCAATGAGAACAGTTTAGACAACTAAGAATTGAGTCTCCATAAACTCAACTCCATAGTTCAAAACATTTAATGAGAAATAACCCCTAAAAACTAAAAGACACCATACCAAAACTCTAAATAGTCAACTGGGGATGTAACCCCAAACCTAAGCATAAACTAAAGTTTATAAGTCAGTATCCGAGCAAATGGATAAGAATATGTAGAAGAATCTATGATAGATTCAAAGTCAAGTATCTCTCAACTTAAGTCTTGGATCAGACGCCGGAAGATGTCATGTGCTCAACAAGGAAAAGAACAGGTGCAGTATCAGTACACAAACCATAGTGTACACTGGTAAGATCACATGGCCAGTCCAAGATATGGATATAGATAGTTTACTATGATGCAATAACATAAAATAAGGCATATAACAAGAAGTAACAAACCACATAGACTCTCAATCACATGTCGTGAGACAATAATACCTGGATGCATGTCCAACATGATCACAAATCTAAATGAACGGTTCTCTCATGGAACCATAATTATATACATGGTGCACTCACAGAACCCAAACCCAAAATTTTAGTGTGTCGGCGTGGTACCCGGTCCATCCATAGTTAGTGTACCATCATGGTACCTGAGCCATATGTAGTTAGTGTACTGACAGTGGAGGATCTAGGATTTTAAGGTTGTGGGTGCTCTGAAAGTAGCAGAGTCAAAAATATAAAAAATACATGTTAGCAATGAGATTCGAACTCTGAACGATTTTAAGGTTGTGGGTGCTCTGAAAGTAGCGAAGTCAAAATATAAAAAATACGTGTTAACAATGAGATTTGAACTCTGGTTCAATAGCACTAAAAAGAGTCTTAAGCACCCACCCAAGAGCCAATGGCCAATCAGATCATTTATTCATTAGGTGCTCTATGCTAATTTTATATAAATACCTCTTAATTTCTACATAGATATATAAATTCCGTGACGAGGTTAATGGGTATTCGAGCACCCAGCGGACTCCATGTGGGTCCTCCCCTGCTGGCGTGGTACCCGAGACAACCAACAATCATGCACAATCACATAGAAAAATGAACAAAACCACTTGAAACCACAAGTTTATTGCATGAGATTACCTACATGATGGCATATCATATGTCTCCCTGTCATGCATTACACAAATGATACTAGAAAACAATAAACATGCATACATACATAAATCGAAAATATACAACCATCACCTACCTCAAATCAAGCCTCTTGAAAACTCTAAATAACTTAAGATTTCCCCTTGCGAAGTGCCTTGGCTTGTTCTTGATATAAAACAAACAATATAAATAACAATCAATCACTAATGACCTATTAATTAACTCAAATCATCAACAAATCCTAACTCCATGCCAAAATATGATTATCTTCCCCAACTTAGGGTTTTTTCCACCATGGAATCATGTCAAAACCTCCCCTCAATGGAAATAACCTAGCTTATAAGGCTTAAGAACCAATGCATAACGTTGGGGAGTCATTTTTTTACCTTTACCGATGAATTCCATAAAAACAAGTGTAAATTGCCCAAATTGGCCCCTCCCAAGTCCAACAAATCAAAGTGCAGAAAATAGGGGTTTTGGGGTTGTTTCTATAATAAATCTCATTTTGGCCCACTATAGCGGCACCACTATAGTGGAACTTACCCTATCATAGCGGTCTGCACACTCTTCTATAGAGGGACACCTCCTACTATAGCGGAATCGATGAAAGTTTAGAAACTCAAACTCCAGAAAAAGGTATTTTTACAGCAAAAACCCTTCCCTAGATGTCTTGACACATACCATTAACGCCAAGATCCATTTCGAGAGTAAGACTTATCCAAATTCAATTCTGAAAGGCCTTATAGACTCCTTAATGGATTGGATACAAGACTATATCAACCAAACCTCAAAGTCATACCCCACCCATTCCTGGATTACCCTAGACATCACCTAGCCTATATTCTATCTAAGGCTGGGCTAGCCAAAAAAATTTAAGTCACTACCCGGAAAGTTTTCTTGCCAAAATTCTTTCGATATTGGCTTACTTATAATGACCAAATCAGATCCAATAGATACCAATTCAGCCATCATTCATCCTCGAGTGATCAAATAAGGAATATTGGACTAAAGTAGAAAAAAAGGGTAGTACTTGAATTTTTGAACAAGTGAGGGCTTGTCCCGCGTGTCCCTTTCTATCTTCTAAGTAGCTTCCTCCGCCAAACGATGTTTCCACCAAACCTTTACTGATTTGATCTCCTTTGTCCTCAGCTTCCGGACATGCCGATCAAGAACCGCAATCGATTCCTCTTCATACTACAGTCCTTGTCCAATATTATTGAGTCCCATTTAATGATGTAATCCCCATCCATATTATACTTGTTTAGCATTGGAACATGAAATACTTGATGAACCTACACAGGTTGAGCGGCAGTGTTAACTTGTAAGCCACTGGTCCCACACTTTCAAGAACCTCAAATGGATCAACATAACGAGGGCTAAGCTTACCCTTCTTACCAAACTGTATGACTCCCTTCATAGGTTACACCTTCAAAAAAATTTGATCACCCACCTGAAAAGCCATGTCCTTAACCTTGCGATGTGCTTACTCCTTCTACCTACGCTAGGCTACCAACAACTTAGCTTGAATCTCCCTCACCCTTCTTAATCTTTCCTAACCAAATCCACACCCAATGGTTTCACATCCCCAGCCTCAAACCAACCTATAGGAGATCTGCATCCCCTCCCACATAGTGTCTCAAATAGTGTTATATCAATGTTGGAGTGATAACTATTGTTGACATCCTAAAGGCACAACGTCGTGGTGACTGACAAAAATGTAATCAATTAATTTAATTTTAAAAGAATAAATTTAAAAGGGAGTCGCCATCTAATTTTAGGAAAACTAGGAAACCAATTAATTAATTAATAAAGAAACAAATGTCTACGATACCAATAGATTCTAGGTAAGGGTTCAAGTGATTCAGAAGAGAAGGTATTAGGCATCCTTCAAATTCCACAAATGTGGGTCCCGACTGAATTCCCTTTTTTTAAATTGAGGAGGATATAAAAACATTGTACAAGTATAATAAACATGTAATATACACAAGTCACAAAGTAAAATAATAATACAAGAAACGGTCTAGTGTTTGCCTAACGTCAATATATAATGAATCAAAAATATTGTTTGAACTTCATTCGAATAGCTTCACTGGGAAACAACTCTAGGTACATGTAAAGACACTTAGTAAAAGTTTTAGTAATAAATAAATATGAATAAAATAAATTAATCAAATAATAACTTTTTTTAAAAATCCATCTTATGAACATGGGAGGCCTTGGAAATCAATGGTAATTTCTCCATCGACCAATTTTAACATATATGAGATACTTCTAAAAGTAACCTTAGTTCGTTATTGTTGGAAGTTTTCCATTAACCGACATAGGCCATGTGAGATATAACATGGAATTTGATGTCTATCCCACACCGAAAAGAGATGTCCTTACTTTCCAAGGTAAGAACCATAAACATCTAGCTGAAGTGGATCCACTAGCTAATGGTTATCTAAGACGACTTATGGTGGCACATAGTTATGGGATAGGGAGATTGCTATTAGAAACACAACATCAACTACGGGAGAGCCTCCATCTCGATATCCACTCGGTGCTAAGCATAAATCCCACGAAATAGTCATTAGTCATATTCATCTTATTATCTATGAAAAGGCACAATCAAGTAGCCAATCCAAGCTAGAGTTCATTAGAATAGCTCCAAAATCTTGATTAAAAGTTACGTTGAGAAAGTCTTTCAACCCTATGAATCCTTCATGTTAGAAAACCCCTGTCACATTCATGTTTTGAGTAGTATGTGAGAAATCCTTTCACAACAACAACAATAACCTCAATTCTTGACTCTCAAAGTAAACTTAAATCATTTTCTTCAATTTCTTAAAGAAACATGCATATCTTTAAAGAATTTGAAGACGCAGGAAATTTTTCTTTTTCATATTTCCTTCAACCAAAGATGTGGTTTTGTACATTTTGCAATGGACTAAACTGTAAATAAAAAAAAGGACTTCTAACTGACCTATACCTAATTTGTACACATATACGTATTCTAGAATATTCTACAGAAAGATACTACACTATATCATGTATATAAGTATATCTAATGTATGTACAAATTATTGATGCTTGTATCTATATGTACTTGGGCCATCATTGGATTTTTATATTTGATTAAATGTCTGCCCATTCTGTTGTGCAGGCCCACTATTGATATGGTCAAGACCCAATGTTTTAACTTCAGTAATGTTCACTTCGTCCTCATCGTTCACTTCTTTCTTCTTTGATTTTGATGTACTATAAAACTCAACACCCCCCTTCATGTTGGAGGGGAGGGAACTGATACCCAACTTAGACAGAATCATGTGGTGAGAAGGTCCAGCCAATGGTTTAGTAAAACGATCAGCTAGCTGAGCCGATGAAGGGACAAAGGATAAAGAAATCAAGCCCGCAAGGAATTATTGTCGAAAAAAATGACAATCAAGTTCCACATGTTTAGTGCGTTCATGAAACACCGGGTTACTAGCAATATAAATAGCAGCTTTGCTATCAGAGAATATAGGAATAGGTAGAGTCGGTTGTAGAGATAGGTCCTTGAGCATTCGAGTCAGCTAGGTGAGTTCAGTAGTAACCCGACACATAGATCTATACTCTCATTCAGCTGAGGAGAGGGAAATGAAAGCTTGTTTCTTGGATTTCCAAGAAATAGGTGAGCTGCCAAGACTGATGAAAAATCCACTAACCGATCTGCGCGAGTCTTTGTAAGATGCCCAATCCACATCACAAAAGGCAATGAGTGATAGAGAGGAGGAAGCGTTTAAAAACAAACCTTAGTCTGGATTAGATTTCAAATACCGCAACACTCTGAGTTCGGCATTATAATACCAACACACGGGATTTGCATATATTGGCTAAGACAAAGCACAACATAAGACAAGTCCGGGCGAGTGTGAGTGAGGTAATTAAGCTTACCAACAAGCCATCGATACATTGTGGGATCTGCCAGGAGAGGACCAGCAGAAGTCGATAGCTTTTCAGAAGGAGTAAGAGGTGAAGAAACAGGCAGCAGATGTGAGCAATCAAACTCCTCCAAGAGTTTGAAGGTAAATTTTCTCTGTCCCAAAATTATACCTTGAGTTTCTCGTAATACCTCCATGCCCAGAAAGTAATGTAGTTCTCCCAGGTCCTTGATATGAAATTCTGAATTCAAAAATCCCTTAAGTTGAATAAATTCTGATAGATCATTCCCAGTAATGAGAATATCGTCCACATAAATAGCAACTATAGAAATTGAAGAACTTGATTTTTTGAAAAATAAGGAATAATCATTCAATGAAGCTGAATAACGTTTAAATTGTAAAGCCCCAGCAAGTTTCGCATACCATTGTCGTGAAGCTTGTTTCAACCATAAAGAGATTTTCTTAGCTTGCATACAAGGTTAGAATTAGGCTTATCCATCCCTAAAGGAAACTGCATGTAGACTTCCTCTTGTAAGTCACCATGTAAAAATGCATTATTAACATCAAGTTGGGAAATGAACCATCCTTCTTGACTGCAATGGCTAGAAGGCACCTGATTGTGGTCATTTTGATCACAGGGGAGAAAGTCTCATTATAATCAATGCCTTCTCTCTGAATGTCTCCTCTGATCACAAGTCTTGCCTTCAGTCTCTCAATGGTTTCATCTGAGTGTTGTTTGACCTTATATACCCATTTACAAGGTAGAGCCTTTCGTCCTTTAGGTAAGGAAACCTCTTCCCAAGTGTTGTTATCTATGAGAATAGAAACCCTCCAACCAGGATGCAAACATGCTTAGGAATACCCTTTAGGTTCAGTGATAGTGTTGATAGAACCTAAGAGGTGTTGATTTTGCATAGATAAGGCCCCAAAGGAGAAAGTAGAAGCATGCATAGGCGCTGCAAAACAAGTTCTAGTGACATTTGAAAGAAATATGTTATTGCAAAGAAAGTCAGTTAGATAATCAACTATTTTCCTTGTCCTTTTTTATCTCCTGGGAGGAATGGTAGGAAAGGGGGAAGAGTAGGTGTCAAGGGTAGGACTGGGAGGTAAGGCAGACTCAGAGAGAGAAGGAAATGAAGCAGGACTGACATCTTGAGATTCTGAGATCGGAGAAGGAGTAAAATCTAAAGATGATGACTCATGCATGGGAAAAATAGGCTTTGGGATAAGAGAAAAAGTAGAAAAAGGAAAAATGGTCTCATGAAAGTGGACATTTCTATAACTAAAATCTTTTTGGTTTCTAAGTCCAACAATTTGTACCCTTTCTGTCCTTTTGGATATCCCAGAAAGACACAAGGTTTAGCCCTAGGATCAAATTTACTTCTACGATGTTGTAGAGTAGAAGCATAACATAGTGATCCGAAACTTCTCAAGGATCTATATTCAGGCAATTTCCCAAAAAGTAATTGATACGGGCTTTTCCCTTGGAGGACCCTAGAAGATATTCTATTGATCAGATGTGTGGCTGTGAGAATGGATTTTCCCCAGAACAATGTAGGAAGTTTGGACTGAAAAAGAAGAGCTCTGGCAATCTCTAACAAGTGCCTATGCTTTCTCTCGACAACTCCATTTTGTTGAGGAGTAGCAACACATGAGGTTTCATGAACAATTCCATGAGAGTTTAGGTAACTAGCTTCCAAAGACCCCTTCCCAAGTTCTAGAGCATTGTCTGATCTTATCCTCATAACTTTCACATTGAACTGTCTTTCAACCATAGCCAAGAAATTTTTGAGCATTGGAAAAGCATTACTCTTTGCAGTGAGTGAGTAAGAAGGTCCAAGTGCCCCTACTAAAATCATCCACAATAGTTAAGAAATACTTATATCCATCTTGTGTATGAACCTTGTAAGGTCCCCAAGTGTCTATATGAATCAACTAAAAAATTCTCTTGGTTTTGATAGAACTTATAGGGAAAGGTGCTCTTGTTTGTCTTGCAAGAGGACAGATATCACAAGGACAATCAAAACTAGACGGAAAAGAGACCAAATTAAGATGTTTCATTGCTTGAAAAGGCAAGTGCCCGAGTCTTACATGCCAAAGTTTTACATCTGACAGTGCATTTGCAGTAAAAGGAAAAGAAACTAGAACTGAATTGAAATGACCATTAGTAGAAACATTAGATACATCATTTGTTTTGGACTCCCTAGACTTAAAACTGGTAGGCTGCAATAGATAGAGTCCATCTCTAGATTCACCAAAAGCTTGTGCCCTCCTCGTAGGGCCCTGCATGAGACACTTACCAGAGTTAAAAGAGATAGTACAATTAAATTGTAAGCACAATTTATGCACAGACAATAAATTATACTTAAAAAGAAGGGACAAGAAGAACATTGTTCAATATTAGATTAGGCAATATATGTATACTGCCTATATGTGTAACAGTGACTCTATGGGAGTTGGGAAGGTTAATATGCACAGGACAAGAGAGATGAATCAAATTGTGAAAGGAATTCTCATCAAAACGCATGTGTTCAGATGCACCAGAGTCAATGATCCAAACATCACTATTGAAAGCAGCTAAACATGAACCTATATATTTAGTCATAGTACCAGCTATAGCATTAGCATTGATCTTTGGAGTGGCGTTAGTGGTATGTCCCCCCTCTTTGTGTTTGTTTGAAGATCTTTAAAATCTGTGAGACTTTCCCCGTACTGAGGTGTTGTGTGAGGTCATTGATATCAAGGTCACTATAATGGTGATCCATGGCTTCATATTCCTCAGTCACATCTGCAACATTCCCTTTAACAACATACCCTTTAGTATTGGTAAACTCAAAATCTTCAGATATCTTATAAGCCTATAGCAATCATCCTCCACATGTCTTGTCTTTAGACAGTGTGTACAACTCACATTAGGATTATACTTAGTCTTCATTGGTTTGAAACCACCTCGCTGAGGCTGGTTAGTTCCAGATCTGGACCTTTGTCCATGAACCTGATTAATAGGTTTGGATCTCTGTTTAGCCGGTCTCTGTCCAACTATATGATGATTGCCTGCCATAAAAGATGAGGAATTAGTAGGAATTTGAGGGTTCACATATACCTCCCTCTGATTCTCATCCTGAAGGAGAAGAGAATAGGCATGGTTGATTCCGGGTAGAGGATTCAACATAAGAATGTTTCCTCTATCCTGGGAGTAAACATCATTAAGTCCCATAAGGAACTGGATGAGTCTTTGATCTTCCAAATATTTGGCTATTTTCTGCTTTCCCTCACAAGTACAAGCATATAGACAATTGATATGAGAATTGAGAGAGTCAAGTTCATCCCAAAGCCTCTTAATCCTGGTGAAATATCCTGCAATATCAATATATCCTTGAGTTAATCCATTGATTTCCTTTTGCAGGTGATATAATTTCGCTCCATTGGATTGACCAAACCTCTGCTCCAGATTTGTCCAAAGATCTTTCGCAGTTCTTGAATAGGTGACAGAATCTGCAATATCTTTGGACAAGGAATTAAGGATCCAAGAGGTGACCATATCATTACATCTACTCAAACCTGGATAGGTCTGATCATCATGCTTGGGTTGTGGAATGACTCAATTGATGAAGATTAACTTATTCTTGGCTGGTAGTGCAATAAGTACAGATCTCCTCCATCCCTTATAGCCTCTTCCATCAAAGGAAGTGTTGACAAGGCTCATCCCTGGAGCATCAGAAGAGTGGAGGTAAAGGGGATTGTTGGAGTCTCCATTCCTAGTTTGGAGAGTCACCCCTGTTGTTGAAGTATTATCAGTATTAGTCATGATTCAAGGGAAAGCTGAAATGTGATTGATTCAAAGATTTGTTACTGCTCTAATACCATAAAGAATTTGAAGACGCAGGAAAATTTTCTTTTTCATAGTTCCTTCAGCCAAAGTTACGGTTTTGTACATTCTGCAATGGACTAAACTGTAAATAAAAAAAAGGTTTTCTAACCTACCTATACTTAATTTGAACACATATACGTATTCTAGAATAATCTACAGAAAGATACTACACTATATCATGTATATAAGTATATCTAATGTATGTACAAATTATTGATGCTTGTATCTATATGTACTTGGGCCATCATTGGATTTTTTTATTTGATTAAATGTCTTCCCATTCTGTTGTGCAGGCCCACTATCGATATGGTCAAGACCCAATGTTTTAACTTCAGTAATGTTCACTTCGTCTTCATCGTTCACCACTTTCTTCTTTGATTTCGATGCACTATAAAACTCAACAATCTTCATAAATTCCTCTTTCATAGTTCAAGAGCTTCATCATATGATAAAAATTTAGAAATCATAAATCATGCATGGTTTCTAGGGGATTCAACTTAAAAACATGTAGTAACTTTAATTCATGCATAAAAGTATATAAAACAATCAATTGGATCAACATTTAAAGGAACCCATGTGATGGAAAAAAATCCTAACTTCAATTGGAGACTTGAACTTGTAAAATTGGAGAATTTAGGAACCCTATGGAGGAAAGAACTCCATAGGTGAATACTATCATACCATAATGTCAAAAGCCCACAATTAATGGTGAATTTGGAGACTTGATCTTAAAACCCTAGACTTCTTCTTTAAGCTTTAGAGAGAGAAATATTTGGGGAAGAACTTTGATCAACTTTGAGAATCTATGAGAATGAGTTCAATTGGGTAATTTGAGGGTTTAAAATGTTTATATAGGGCCTACGATAGAGGGTAAAATGACATTGTATTGGGTTAGAATAATTAGGAAAAGACCCAAAAGTTCTTAAAATAAAACTGTTGGACCTCTATCGACGGTTGAACCTACGATCCATAGGTCCTACTACGGACCGTCCGGCCATAGGTGGGGGGTTCAGGAACTAAATTTTTGGACCCCCCAAATATGGGACCCATGTACGGTTCATTGGTCAACCTACGGTCCGTGCATGGCCACCGTAGGTCCAACTTTAAGCTTTAAAAATTTCTCTAAGTCTGGGGTCACCTATGAGACCTATGTATAACTCGTAAAAGGAATGAATGACAGTCCTGGTGAACCGTTAAAAGAGTACTAGAAATTTCCATTTGAAAATCATTTAACCTTACCACCTACGGTTTCCACCGATGGCTCGTAGGAGAACCTACAGTTCGTAAGTGGGGACACCAACTATGAAAATCTGCAACTTTTTTGTTCGTTCAAATCCAAGACGTTACAATTATTTTCTTCTAGTTGTTGACCTAGTCTTTAGGAGTTGTGTTCTTTTTTAAGTTGCAATAGTCATATGTTTTTTGATTTATAGGAATTAGTGGAGTCATGTGTTATGTCTCTTTTAGGAATTTAGCAGTAAGTTGGTTTCTGTGGACTGATATGTGCCCTATTTTAGGGGAACTATATTTTAAGTGTTTGCTTATATATTGGCTTGAAGTTATGAATGAAAGCATCAGTTTCCATACATTGTTTTCTCTTTTACGTACCTCTTAATTTTCTTCTTCATCTTCTAACATTGGTATCAAGAGCTAGGTTATCGTGAGAGAAAAAACAAATGAGGCAGCCACATATTTCTTCTTCATATTACCCGATGGCTATTGAAAAATAATTTTATGCAACTATAGCTATTCCACGCTTTGATGGTCACTATGATCATTGGAGCATGTTAATGGAAAATTTCATACGATCCAAAGAGTATTGGCAGATCATTGAATCTGAAATTCAGCAACCAAAAGTCACAACTTTAACATATGCTCAAAGAGAAGAATTGGAAGCTAGAAAGCTAAAATACTTGAAAGCAAAAAACTATCTCTTTCAGACAATTGATCGTCCCATTCCAAAAGCTATTCTTTGCAAAGAAACTTCCAAAGATATTTGGGATTCTATGAAGAAGAAGTATCAAGGCTTTACCAGAGTGAAGCGTGCACAACTTCAAGCTTTGAGAAAGGATTTTGAAACACTGAAGATTAAGGAAGGAGAATTTGTCACCAATTATTGTGCTAGAACAATGGAAATAACTAACAAGATGCGTTTATAAGGTGAAAAGATAGACAATGTAGACATTGATGAGAAGATTTTGCGCTCTATGACATCAAAATATAATTAAGTTGTCTGCTCAATTGAAGAGTCAAAAGATATAGATGAACTATCTCTTGATGAGTTGCAAAGTTCTTTACTAGTTCATGAATAAAAGTTCTGGAGTTCAGGAGCAAGTGTTGAGGGCTTCTACTAATACTTTTTTCAGCAACTACAGTGAAGAGGTAGAACTAGAGGCTGAGGAAGAGGAAGACAAAGAGGAGATCATGGAGGCAGAGATTTCAGCATGAATTTCAAAGCCAATACTGATCTATCTCAAAGCAGAGGTCGAGATTAAAAGAAACTATGCACCAACAGTTATTTCTAGGAACCTAGTTCCTAGAGTCGTATTAGAACGCAAAGTAAATAACACTTCATTTATCGTGGAAAACTTCCTTGCCCAAGGGAATAAAAAATCAAGACCTACAACTTGTACGATTTTCAACAACATTCACTAACTTCAAAGAGCAACTTTAGATTACAACTTAATAATCAAAGAGATTAACTCCAGTACCTCACCTCAATAGGTCACTCAAATTTGTTCAATGATTAACTATAACTGTTTTCTCTACTCTCCAAGAAGTCAAACCCACTTCTTATTACAATTCTTACAAACTCACTTTCCAAGAAGTCAAACTTGCTTCTTGTTACAAACTTCACTAACTACTCTTCAAGAAGTCAAACTCATTTCTTGTTCTTCAATCTAGAAATTATTGCAACTAAATAATAAACCTAGAATAACTCAACATAGACTAATAACTCTAGCCTTTAATTGATCAACTTTTAATCTTCAATAATTCAGACTCGAACACAACTCATGAACCTTGTTCCAGTGTTGCTCTGACGAAGTTTTGCAGTTTTGCTCCAATTGTTATTGCTCTCAAAATGATAATTTTCATGAATATGCAATAAGTGTGGCTTTCGATGGTCTTCATGGAATATATATACCGGAGAATTTCCATGCCCTAGTATATCACGGACTAGGACTCTTACTTCGAATAGAACTTGTCCTCTTATAAGGAAATTTATAATTTTCTTCTTTAAAAGGAGTTTCATCCTATAAAGAAACTTTGACTCCTATTTGGACTTTAATTGTACTCTTTATTTCTTTCCTTCTTTGCTCCTTTATCTCTTTTTTTCTTTGCTCCTTTATTTCAGCTATTTCTTTATTTCTTTTTCACTCCTTTATCTCTACAATTTATTAGTTTTATTCTTTGATGCAATCTCCCATATCTTTATAGGCTCTCCGCATTCACATCTGGGATCTGGTTTACCTGAGAGAGTACACATAAGACAACAAGTAGTGAAGCAAGTTCACTTTATCAAACATTAAAATTACTTTTATGTTCTCCTACTTCCCAACAATTTCCCTCTGTTTGATGATGATAAAAAATATCATAGTTTACTTTGTCAAACATCAAAACTATAAACATCATGTTCTCTTATTCCCCAACAATGCATCATAGTTTACTTTGTCAAACATCAAAACACTTTGTCAATCATCAAAACTACAAACATCATGTTCTCTTATTATCCAACAATTTCCCCCTTTTTGATGATGACAAACTATGCACAATATTTCCCTAACCCATATCATATAACTGATATTAGCAATCCATCATAGTTTACTTTGTCAAACATCAAAACACTTTGTCAATAATTAAAACTACAAGCATCATGTTATCTTATTCCTCAACATTTCTCCCTTTTTGATGATGAAAAACTATGCACAATATGTCCCTAACCCACATCATATAACTTCCCCCTTTTGACATCATTGAAAACCAACAACCAAAGAACTCGATGAACATACAATCAGCACAATATCATCTTAACTCATGGCCACTTGGGTAACACTTTGTAGTACACTTCTGTTAACAATAAGGTAAGTTAATATGAGGATATTAGCCATCTTGCCCACACAATAAAGATCTTCAATGAGGAACAAACTAATCAAGCATGTACCCGTTTAAGCTCTTAGAGCCCGAAATCAAAAGCATATGATATCACGAGTATGAGACAGACACAAGCACATCAAAGAGTCTGGAAAAAGAGAGAATACAGTTTAGGAGGAAGATTACTAAAGTGAGGAGGAATAGGGTGTTTATTACCATCAACCGTTTTTTAGTCATCTTACTCATACATAATCAAGATCTTCAATGAGGAACAAATAAGCAAGCATGTACCCGTTTAAGCCCTAAATAAAAAACATATGATATCACTAGTATGAAACAAACACAATCACATCAAAAAGTTTAGAAAAAAGAGAATAAGAATTAGGAGGAAGATTACTAAAGTGGGGAGGAAGAGGATGTTTACTACAATCAATAGTTTTTTAATACGCCCACTGTGCACCAGCTCCTTCATTATCATTAGCTTTCTTAGAAAGTGATATGTCATTAAGAGCAATCATGAGGTCATCATCAGTTGATCATAATTAGTTTCAAGGAGACCAAGTGAGCATTTGCAAGCA